AGAATATCATGTTTACCCGATATTTATTACAAACATACCCCACCACCCCTCTCTCCTACCTAGCGGGGCTATAATGGTCCTGTATAACAAAGTGTGACATGTTCCTATTACAATAGATAAACAGATGATCCCCGTCCAACCAATTAATTAATCAAATAATTAATTAATATTTTCAATTAAAGGTATTTAATAGTTTAGGAATACACTGGAAGTAATTATCTGTGATTTTACGTTACACTTGGTAAAAATATGTTTGTAGATTGCAACATTATCCCCCCCTTTACAGTTAGGGCGAACCTTCCTTCGCAGGAATTACCCTCCCCACCATCCCCCTGCACATCCTCCCCCAATCAACCCCTTCCCCCCACTACGGTTTATGTGATGGTGAGTAGTTGAAATATATGCAAACCACTGATGTTCTAATCAACTTGAGAGACCAGCTTCTGCGGTTTATAATTCCGTTATTCTTGGGTTTATATGCACGCTGCTATGCATTATGTTTATTTATTATTTATTAGTGTATTTATAGCAGACGAGGAAATTTAGAATTCTCCATTAAAAGTTTGTGATGAATTCACAAAATTCTGGTAAACATTTATGGCGTAATTGCAAAATTGAATCCTAGCTAAGGAACGGTCCCCGGCTTCTCAGAAGAAAACAAGATTTTCTGAACCTGGTTTTTAGAGACACTGAGATGTTTGGATACTAGCAGAGTTTATCAACTTTTGATTTAGAAAATGTTGAGTTTTTTGAGGCAAATTTTTATCGATTGTAAAGGAATTGAGTCTTTGCCTGTTTTTTTTCTGTTGAAGTTAAAATGTTTAAAATTAATTCTTGTTAAATATGGTTTGCATTACGCTATCACTGTAGGACGAAATACCTATTTATTTACAGCAAAGATTTTGTCGAAATATATTGAGAAAAAAATGTTGGTGTTTGTTATCAAGGATCCAAAATAGAATAGTAAAATAGAGGCGGCTTCAGAGGGAATGGTTGAGGCCCCCTTCTGAAAAATTGAAGACCCCCCCCTTCCCTGGAAAATTGAGGGCGCAATTAGGGAGAGGGAGCAGCTTCTGGCTTCTTATTTCAAGAATGGATTTTTTTTTTAATTCATTCATTTCCCTGGAAAGTATGTTGGGTTGTATTTATCCCTGTATTTCAACCCTTCCTATAATAAAACCACAGCTCATCATAAACATTATACTGGTTCATTGATCATCCATGCTGAGGGGGGGAGGGAGGTTTCTGGTGGATATTATTGTGATACAAATCCATAAAAGATGAAATACCTTTTTTGAAAGCCCTTGGGATCTACTGCAAAATAATCTGCCAAAAAAAATTGCACATTTGCAAAAAATATTTATTGCCATAACAAGTTATTAAGCAAAACAATGTGCAAAAACCAAAAAAGGCGAAAAATGATAGATTTTACATTTTTGAAAATATTCAAGGAAAACTGAAAATGTGCAAATTCTCTTTAAAGGGATCTGTGCAAAAATCTATGAAAACTTTCGTCGCAAAAATTGTGCAATCTGCTTCCTTTGTTCAAGGCTTTCCAAGGAGCTATAAAAAGTCTAAATCCACTGATCGGAAGTAGGTCTAAGCATAGATGTAGTCGGATAAAGTTAAAATAAGGCATTCAGGCAGTATGCCTGAGGACTCAGGCAGTGGGTATAAAGCCTAAAGTGAGGGGCATGTGTATGTTAGAAAAGAAAAAAAAATTAAACAGCCCTAGACCAATACTTTATGAGTTATCTCCAAAAAACGTCGTGGGGGGGGGACCCCAAATCCCCCAAAGCGGGAATAGGGTTAAAACTTACTGAATATCATGTTTGATATGAATCTTTGGTAAATAATTCTATTTAAATATTTCTGTAAAACAAGTGCTAATTGTAAGGAATGTTAAAATTTGCAAATTTAGTTCAATTAACGAAAATTCAAAATCTCTTAATATCTTATAAAATAAGGTTAAAATTTCGCGAAATCTGTTTTTGCAAAACAAATACGATATTGAACGAAAGGTCGAAAATTTTTGCGAAAATCTTTTTATGAACAATTTCGCGAAAATGAATGAAAATTTTCGTTTTCGTTCATATTTTCGCTGGCTCAACGAAATTTTCACGAAAGAGATTAAACGGAAATTTGGAAACCCGAGATCAGAAAAGGTTTAAAGGGTACCGTTGTGAATCGGATATGCTAATCATAAATGAAGAGTCATATTTAAAAAAAAACATATCCATTCCCTTTAAGTATTGAGGGATTAGAGGGGGGGGGGATTAACAATTTTGATTAATTAAAAAGTAAGAATTTTTGTAATCTAAATGAGGGCCGGGGAGGGGGTGGCTGCAACTATTATTAGAGGGGGCAGGGGTATAAGGTATACTTACACCTTCATCTCCATTCATTCATCAAATTTGGTCCAAGCAGATGTATGAAAAGGTGTAAGGGAGGAAGGAAAGGGTGTGAAGAGGGGGGAAGGAGGAGGAGGGGGGGGGACCGGATGGAAATCCTGACAAGAGCATAGATTTGGAGCAATGTCAAATATGACAGAATTTGTTTCATTCAAAACTAAAAGAGAAATTTTAAGTTATAAAGAAATATATTATATTAAGCTAAAACTTAAATTCATAAATATTTTTAACTTTTGAATAGATTATTAAAGATTTCCAGAAGGATTTTTTTTTAGTTTTAAAGACCTTCCTTACAACCAATAAACCTTCCTTACCACCAATGAACCTTCCTTACTACCAATAAACCTTATTTACTACCAATAAACCTTCCTTACTACCAATAAACCTTCCTTACTACCAATAAACCTTCCTTACTACCAATAAACCNGATGGAAGTAATTTCCATTATAACAATTTTTCTATCTTATCTGTGTTAAAAATATTTTTTCTTGTCATCAAAAACAACAGAGATAGAACGAAAATATTGAGTTTGATCAGAAAAAAAACATTAGTTTCTGAAAACCTTATATCGTAAAGATTTAACCTACCTCAGCTGATAAACTAATTGTGCGATAGATCCACTAAGAGGTGCCGTACAGGTAAAAAAATAACCCGCTGCATCTATTGTCCCATATGTGCATTGTGCAATCTCTAGTATTATCTGTGTAATAACTTGTCCTATCTGTGTAATCTCTTGTGTTATCTGTGTAATCTCAAGCGTTATCTGTGTAATCTCTGGTGTTATCTGTGTAATCTCTAGTGTTATCTGTGTGATCTCTTGTTCTATTTGTGTGACATCTTGTTCTATCTGTGTGATCTCTTGTTCTATCTGTGTAATCTCTTGTTCTATCTGTGCAATCTCTTGTTCTATCTGTGTGATCTCTTGTTCTATTTGTGTGTTATCTTGTTCTATCTGTGTAATCTCTTGTTCTATCTGTGCAATCTCTTGTTCTATCTGTGTAATCTCTTGTTCTATTTGTGTGATATCTTGTTCTATCTGTGTAATCTCTTGTTCTATTTGTGTGATATCTTGTTCTATCTGTGTGATATCTTGTTCTGTCTGTGTAATCTCTTGTTCTATCTGTGTAATCTCTTGTTCTATCTGTGTGATATCTTGTTCTATCTGTGTGATCTCTTTTCCTATCTATATAATCTCTTATTCTATCTGTGTTATTTTTTGTCCTATCTTCTGTGTAATCTCTTGTTCTATCTGTGTTATTCTTGTCCTATCCGTGTAATCTCTTGTCTTATCTGTGTAATCTCTTGTTCTATTTGTGTAATCTCGTGATTTTTACTTTTTGTTAGCTTTAAGAAACTTGAATTTAAACCAAAAACAAAAACAAAAAAATTTACACAAAAAATTATTGGATGCATATTCATTTCCTTCCTTAAAATGTGGATTTTTTTAATGAAAATCCGCAAAATATATAAAGAAGGAAACCTACTTTGCCGTTATAAATGTTACTTAATATAATGGCATCGGAACAAATAAGAAACTTTTTCCCCAAGAAATATGGGAAAACATTTCTCTAAAACTTGAATAAAAAAGGTTTAACGATCACTTTCCATAACAATTTTTGCATCCCTTTATTTTTGCAACCTGATGCTGTGGGGCCTTAAATATTTGAAACAACAACTAATCAATCTACAGAGGTCTCGAAGGAAATCAGGTCTCAAAGATGAAAGGATAAGACTGTAGTAAATTCCGTACTCTTAAAAGTTAGTCCTAAACTGTATCAGTCCAGGTTACACCCGTCCGCTATCAAAGTCAAACAGTACACGGGCCACACGGCTACAATCCCGAACTATCAACGTCACTACCTGGGCGCGATCTCTTTAGCTATCGGTGTCAGCACGGACACTAGCAATCAATTGATCTATGTCTCAAACAGAACAAAATCCACACGGCTACAATCCCATGAACTATCAACGCCACTACCTGGGCGCGATCTTGTTAGCTATCGGTGTCAATTTGGACACTAGCAATCAATTGATCAATGCCAATACTCAAGGCACGATCTCAATTCGTATGTTTCAACAAAACAAAATTACTCTACAATGTAATCGAAGCGGAGTTCTGATTCTAGCTGATCTCTGTTTGCAAATCATATGTTACATGTTACGTTCCAATATGTATTCACAATATTAAGCAGGTATATAATCTAATCACAATGCATATCTATTCTGTTCGCATTACAAGTTTTACGTAGTCAAGGATTAACGTAGTTAGATCCTTAGACCATGCGTACAATGCATTTAATATAGGTATATTCAAGCAGTATTTAATACAAACCCAAGTTTGTGAGCTGTGACAATAATTTTTGTATGAAAAAGAAGAACAAATCTGATCTGGATAAAATAAAAATAAATATTTTAAGGTTGTCTTGTCTTGTCAAAAAGTAAAAAATAAATTCAAAAGTGTGCTGGCTTGCAGAACAAAGTTTAAAAAAGGCTGTCACACCCTAGTATGATTAGTAGTAATACTGTCCATTTGATATCGCCGCTAAATTTCTTTATTTTTCTCCTATTGGTGGATTTTTTTAAAGATAGATAGATAGCACACTATCACTATTGGTCGAAAAATCGCGCTTGTGTTTTATTGGAGAAAAATCCTAATGGACTCTTGAAACTACGGTGGTCATCCTGTCAACAAATATGCTATTGATTGTAGGACAAAATCTACTCAGATTTCCCCGGATAAAAACAACAAGTTACACATTTAACAAATCTATTAAGGACTGTCATGTATTCGCCATTTCAAATCGATCTCCATTTTAATAAGTCTGGCATAATAAATGCTAGAATTTAACACTTCTTAAGATAGAAAAGAGACACCAAAAATTACAAGGACAGTTCATGAATTTCAGTATCATTGCCATAGTCTCTAGATACAAGATTCCATCTTCATGAATCCAGGATTTGATATATCAACAAGAAATGTATACAAAAGAGAAAATATTGCGTGAATCCAAATTTAAACCGTTCCCTGGCCCGCACACTCCCGGTCCCCCCTCCCCTCCCCTTCTACGGTCCCCCTTTCCCTCCTCTGCTACTCAATTCCGCAGGGTATAATTGGTAGAAGGGGAGGGGCCGCCGGGTTGCCGCCGAACCAGGGTTCTCCTGGTTTCCCAGGTTCCCCAGGTGTTAGTAATCCGCAATCCGTCCTAGCATCATGACCCAAGGTTCTGATCTAGGACTCCAGGTACCCCAGGTACCTCAGGTACTCCAAGTACCCCAGGAGTATATAGTTCCTGTTGGGCATATAAACTCTAAACTAAGCAGTGTATCAGGATATGCCAAATCTAGCAAGGTTCCTTGCAACCCGTCCATCAACCACAATTTACCCAAGGGTCTTGTTATTGTTCAGGAACTACAACTCAAAATATATCAAATTATATATTTTGTAAATTTCAAGGGGCCCTCTGTTGATAGAGATTTGCATGCACAATTCACAACGGGACCCTTTAAACCCTCATCGGAGCATGAATCATAAAAAATCTTTTGTCTATCTGAAAATTGATAATTTCCAATATTTTATACAAAATACAGCAAAAACAAAATAGAACACTTTTAGAATTTAACACATTTCTTCATTGTTACAAAGATAAAGGTTGATATGGTACCGTTGTAAATCGGGTATGCAATTCTAAAACTGAGAGATGGCTTACATTTTTTTATTTTATTTTATCAAATTATTTTGAGTTAATGTTGAGTTTAGGTTGATAATACGAGACAGGAAGGAGAAGGAGGGATAGAGGATCATAAACTTCTTCCGGTTTATGATTCTGTTCTAAAATCTTCAATCTCACAAGAATATATCGTCAAATCATCGAACTCTCATACATATGAGGTCAATCCCTCCAATCCTCAGAAAAATGACGGCAAATCCTCCAATCCTGAAATCTATGGAGTGAAATCCCCCAACCTTCAGTATAATGAGATTAAACCGTCACAAACCTATGAAGTTAAATCAACTACCTTGAAACCTAACGGGATTAAATCCACAATACATTCGTCCCTCAAATCCCAAAATCCCCGAGAGAACATGTCACACAGAAATCCCATTGAAGGAGAAGGACAAAAACAGGATATTTTGGCCTCAGCCACTCACCAACTTATCCACGGGTTCCCTCCCTACGAGGAGGAGGAGGAGGAGGAGGAGGAAGAAGAGGAGTACGACGAGGATGTTGATGATGATTATGAGGATCCAGACTATTGTCCTGACGACCCTGACGAAGGAATCATTAAATATTTAGTTCATTTTTTCTCCCGAATAATTTTAAAATTTTGCACATGGAAACTTTTTAGAATTAGTAATTGATGAAGATGCAGACACAAAAATTTACTTCTGATTGAAAACTGATATTTAACAAAAATAATCCTTGCCTCATTTAAAAACCTCTGAGCTTTAAAAACGGAGTAAAGTTGCAGGAAAGATTTCATAAGATTTTGGTGTTTAAAAGAATTATTTTTACATATATAAATATTTTCGGTAAATTAAGATTTTCTTTGAAAAAATAATTTTATAAAAAATATTTGTTGGTTCTAGGATACAGAACTAACTCATCGACAGGCTCACCATCCTCCTCAATACACTCCCCCTCCCCGGGGACCGGGGAGAGGAAGGGGGAGCTGGGCGAGGTCCAGAGGGAGGACGAGGAAGGGAACCTCATGTGGTTGGTCGACTTTAAGCTAGACTTCTTTAATGATATTGAAAAGAACGCAGAGAGAGGTAAAATTTTCAATTAAAAATTTTTTTAAAAATTTAAAACTTTTTAAGCAAAAAAAACATTGATATTTTTCACATGATTAATCAAATAAAAGTTTAAAGGGTACCAATGTACTTTAAATATCAAAGACAGTCCCTTAACGCTAAAGTCAGAACGCCTCTGAACTTGTATCTTCTCTGACAGTAACTCATGAGTCATGGGTTCCTAAAAACAAAAAGAACAATACACATACAAAAACCTTGGAGGTGCCTTTTGTATACAGACATATAAAGCAATAATTTAGGGCAAAGGAAATTTTTTGAATTTTAGAATAACAAGTGAACTGATTACTTGCCTCAAACTATAATTCAAGAACTCTTTCCTTGTTATAACCTAAGTGTGTAAACCTTTGATATTTTTAAACAAAAAGAATTCTTTTAAATTTGAAATATCTTAGGATTACGACATCAGGTTGCAATGAATATAAGGATTAGAAAATTAAAGTTTGTGGCGAGTAATCAGGTTCTTTGTTAAACTCCGATCATGAAAGCTACGAGGGCGCTAATTCTGATAAAATAAACTGTTTGATTATGTTTATTTCCATGTTAAAAGAAATATTATAAAAACTATGAAAACATAATGTAGAAGCATCAGCTTTTAATCTTTTTCATACCAAAAATAAGACCCTAGTCGGCTTTAAAATGTTGAGACTTTTTTAAATCAGTCAAGTTGCCAGTTTTTTAACGCTAGTATGATACCCAGCTTTGTCTGGAGATTTCTTTATTAATTTCAACCCACTCAACATTTATTTTTTAAACCAGGCTTATAACCATTTAGTTCAAAAAAACAAACAGACAGACAAAGATTACAATAACTTTATGCAAAAATATACATTTTTTGTTACATTTCTAAAATATTCAATTTTAGAGCGAGAACAGAAAAGTGTAATGAATCCTCAAGCACAGTAAGAACACCCCAACTGATCGAGCTCAATATGTGCATGGCAAATCACATGACCCCAGGGAAGGTTTATGGTTGGTCGAAGTTGAAATTTATCATTTATGAAAAAGCACCAATTTTATCAGGAAAATCCGCGAAAATTTGAGAACGATAAAAATAGCAACTTTCAGAGTTCAAAGCCAAAATTGTTAAAATGGGGCACGATTACGAATGTTCCGGATTTGGAATAATGTTACTTTGTGAAATACAGTAATCGTTGTAGATACAAAGTTTTTACAAAAGTTTCTAGTTATTTCTGCATTTTGAAAACTATTTTTATGATTTTTTTTTCATCGTTTCCTTTTTTTCGCCATATTTGCTAATCTCTTTTATTCTAAGAAAAATGATAATGTAAAAAAGATGATTAACCTAAGAATTGTAAAAATTAGATTTTGAAAAGTTCGAATGGGTAAAAGTATAGAATTAAAGTAATAAATCTGGAACAGGGTCGATATTTATTATTTGTCTTTATATTTGATGAGGTTTAACGATGATTAAGCTCTGAGCTAATTTTTAGGATTATTATAAATACATTAGGGAAACACATAATGTGTATAAAACATACCGTAACATAACACACACAAAACAAATAAGAAGTTAAGTTACATGAATCCATTATTTATTACACGTCAAAGTTTCTTAATTTTTTGTTATTTTGCGCCATATTTGATCATAGTTTCATGTTTTCTTGTTTATAGAAGAAAGTTTGATATAACCTTGAAAGAATAACTAGACACAAAAAGCAAGCATGATATATTATCAGTTTTCAAAACTATAGATTATACTGCAAAAAGTATATTTCAAGAGGGACTGCTCGCGTAATTTCAAGTAACACTCCATTCCAAAATGGCAATGTTCGATTTACAATGGTACCCTTGAAGTATGAATTAGATATGCATGTTTTTGTTTCTTTAAACTGTTTATTTTCATTTGCGTTTTCTCTGCGTAAGTGACTTGTGCATTCCTTGTTTACAAGAAGCAATGGAGAAGATCACAGACATAAACAATTATTGAGACAGAAAACGGCGGGTTCTTCCACATTTTTGATCAGATTAAGGTTTCAAAGGTGACGTTTTAAATCGGGCATTGTCATCTTTGCATGTAGGGTCACTTAAAATTACAAGTCCATTTAAACAAACTTAGTATGTCCCCTTAGCTTTTAGAATCTAAAATCTAGCACTATAGCCAAGTATTCAAAGTTTATTAAGATAAATTCAATTGTGCAGAAAAATATACCTTTCAGGATTTTCCCGGGTACCTTAGGTAACAGATTCATGGAGAGAACGAATTATTTGGTGAACAGCTTAAAAAGATAATAGAGTATCTTAGTTTTGCCCCTGTCTTCTTACACAAATACTCATATAATAATTCCGTAATAATAATTGCTCTTAAAAACACCATTGAAAGGCCTAAACTGAAGAAATAAAACATATGGTCAGATTCTGCAGTAAGGCTGGTATGTTTTGCACTATTGCAGTATTTTCTAGCTTATAGATTTTACTCAAAAAATGGCAAACGGAACAGAAAAAGCATGATTTTTGATCATTTTTTATTGTTTTACGCTCAAGATAATAGTTTCAATGCTTATTTTCCGTGATATCCTACCATTTTTCGAGCTTTCGAGCTCTTTCGAGCTTTCGAGCTTTTTCGAGCCAATGACATGTAGAATCCGACCATACGTTTTTTGTTCAGTTTAGACCTTAAAATGATGTTTTAAGGAGAAATTGTTAGAAAAATGGGAATACGGAATTATAAGAATTTATATAGTAATACAGGGGCAAAACTAAAGTACTCTATTAGTTTTTAATTAAATTGATCTTAAAAACCTAAAATCGATACACAATTATCATCGTACTTGATTTAACAGAGAATATGTACGTTTCTAGCAAAGTTTTCTTTTAACAATTACCAATGTTTGTGCATAAAAAAGATAAATAATATTTCTAATTTTTCAGGGAGAACTATCCTTATTTTAAAGCGGAAGACGACCGATGGAAGAATAGTGTGCGGCATAATCTCAGCATGAACCCGCACTTCCGGAAGGGATCTAAGTCCAAGCAGGGAGCTGGACATGTTTGGATTCTAGCAGATGAAGGACAGGATACTTTACAGGTAATAGAATAGATAAAAAGGAAAACTTTCTATTTCCATTCTTGTCCCTATTAGGGTATCCTGCGGCTATGGTTTACCTGTAGGTGTAAGGAATTATGAGATTTAAGACTCAAAAGTTATGACCTCGGAAGTTTAGGACCTAATAACCCTTTAATGTACATAATCATGTCCTTAATTAGAAGTTTTTGTTTGGGAGGGGGGCATACTTGGTAAACAGGGGAGGAAAGCCCTTTTAAACAGTAAAAAAGCACATATATCACCTTAAACTTGATCTTAAAGCGGGGTGGCCACATGTCCCATAGCCCCCTTTACTTAATTAATACTATGTACATACCTTCAAATGAATTAAGTTTTAGTCACAAACATTGATCTAATCCAAAGATCTTTGCAACCAAATGTTGCAGACCTTAGACATTTCAAACTATAAATTATGTTAGAGCAAATAACCTAAGTTTGAAATATCAAAGGTTTACAAGATAAGGTTGAAATAAATAGGGATTAAAATTTTAGTTTGTGGCAAAGACGCAATTCCATTGCAACCTCTATCAGATGTATGAAGTTGTTCTAACTTGGTTCAAATTTCAGATTGGTTCGTCCATAAAGCTGATCAGTAATGAGGATGAGGCAGCTGAAGCAGTGAGAAATATCCTTGGAGCAACAAATTCAGAGGGAGATAGAAAACGGCAGCATTGTAAGAAACACCATCGACCCAGTTTTGATCCGCTCAGAAAATCCGCGGAAGAAATTTTGGCGGGAGTGAAGCGACCAACAGCTGTGGAGGATATTTTAGGGGTTAAGAGACCGGCCACAGATTCAACTCTTGTACATTACCTTGTAGCAGATAAACAAGGTGAATTTCATTCATTTTCTAAGTTTTGATGGCATTGGGAACATCATGGAATAACAATCTAAAAATAAATATCACTTCGCAAGGTTAAACTTAATTATACACAAAAAATGCTAATTTAAATGCCTTTGCTTTCTCCAATACCCTATAAATTACCATGCCTTTACATTAAACTCACCAGAAGGGGATGATTCATTCAGTGTACTGTCACGTTATAGTACAGTGATAACCAGAAAACTCTGGATTAGGAAGTTGACTTATAGACTCAAGATATCACATTAAATAGGCCAATGAACATGAGGCAGAGCAATTGTACAGTGTAAACAGACCCATTTCACTTAATGAACATGAGGCAGAGCAATTGTACAATGTAAACAGACCCATTTCACTTAATGAACATGAGGCAGAGCAATTGTACAATGTAAACAGACCCATTTCACATAATGAACATGAGGCAGAGCAATCGTACAATGTAAACAGACCCATTTCACTTAATAAGTTATTTAATAAATTACTAGTAAAGCTATTTGCTTTGTAACAGCATCAAATGCACTTCAGGATTGCTTTAATGTCGTCTTCCTATTCCACAGTTTTCTCGTTATTATTGTACTGTACATACACTTGTTAACTACAGGGTGTCCAACGAAACATTACAGTTGGTAAATAGTTTAGAATGTCTTCTTCCATAATTTGTTAAGTTGTTTAATACCAAAGACAATAATAAAAATATTATGTATGAGTCATATTATAGTAAAATTAACTTCAAAGTAAAATATATTTTTTAAACGAAATAAACTGCAAACAGCATTTAACATATAATGCAGTGTATGGAAGACGACATTCAAAACTATTTATCAACTGTCATGTTTTGTGGGACACCCTGTAGCTGCATAAATGTCATTGTCAGCCCGGTACTTCAAATGAACCGAGGTTTAAGTAAATGAATGTTTAGATGGACATAACTTGTATAACCATCCCAGCAAAAAGGCACATCTAGCATACGAGGAAGAACATCTGATGAACTCTCTTCCACTTAACCTAACCTCCCAGCCAGTACAACTATCCAGCAGTACTGTACACCTCACCTCCCAGCCTGTACACCTTAGTACAGATATAACAGCAGAGAATGGTTTAAGTTATCAAGTGAATTCACAAAATGGCACAACGTACTGCACTTTAGAACAGGTTAGTTAGTTATCTATTCGACTGCAGGGTTATCCACTTAATGAATGAGAGTTTGTCACCACCTTCAACTTTTAAATGCCACGGAATCTTTTTAAGAAACTTTGAAATGATGTATTCACTGTCTAAAACTGCAGCAAGCCTGAAATAAAAAAAGACTGAAATCTGTTCAAAGGCCGAATTTAAAGAATATGAGCCACAGTTTAAATTTAAGCTGCCTCTCAAATTTTGCTGTTTCCACTTAAATTTGTATTGAATTTTTCAAGATTCCAGCCGGCGCTCAATTGAAGTTTTTTGGGGATTTGAGTCGCGGCTTAAATTCATTAATTTCTCATTCATTGTCTTTAACCCTGACTAGTGTCTGTATAGTGTAGATTTGTCTTTAAAACGTTAGAGCTGGTAAATTTTTTGTGTGGCACCTCACATGCCCCAAAGATTCTGGTTAAAATCCAAATGGATAATGCAAAGAAAAAATCTTTTAAATTCCCTTTAAAAGTCCAAAAATCTGTTTAAAATCAATATTGATTTTTAAAAGATGAATATTATAACTAGATAGAAAAAATTGTCAGACCGGGTATTGACTAAACACTGAAGGTGGGGGGAGGGGAGGGAGGGTTGAGAGGTGTCTGGGGGAGGTTTATTGAGAGTAAGGGGGGAAACTGTGCATGCTAGGAGAGAATGAATCAACTGTGGAGTCCCCCAGGGAACAATACACTAGGGACCAGAATTGAATATAAGTCAAGCATAATGTGTTAATTACATACTGGTGGGGTTTTTAATCCAAAGTATAATTAAAGAGCAAATAAAACCGGTTTAAAACGTTATCCTCCCTTTATCTAAGCAACGGAATTCATTTTTTAACACCCTGTCTCTCAACATATTAAGCCTCCTTATTGCACTTCACATATCTCTCTCAAATCCAGTCCCTCCCCCTCCCCCCAATACTATTCAGTATCTAGTCCATCACATGACGATCCAGAAACCCTCAAAAATTCGTTCTCTTGTCTGAAGAATCAAATTTTTTCTTTTCTTTGATTGCACATTGCAGGGGAAGAAAGTTCCAAAACTTTATCTAGCCCAAATCTGACACTTAGTGTATTTATTAAAGTTTTAAAATTTTCTGAATTTAAAAGCATTTTTGAAATAAACATTGATAAGATTTTGGAGACTTGGAAATATTTTCACAATAAAATTTGAAAATTCTTCTTTGATTGAATTAATTTTAGCGAAACCCTTAATTTAATTAAATAGATTAATCCAAAGCCTGGAAAATTAATTTAAAGTTAATGATTATTTTCTTTATACACAAACTCCCCCCTGTATGAAAAAGATATATTATATCCATTAAAAACCTCTTCTTTTTAGTTATTAATCCCACCCCCTCCCACCTCCCCCTCCCTCCCTTCC